GATCCTTCAATCGTTACTGCCCTGTCCAGATTGTGTCCGACTGTCATGGTCTTAGTTTTCGTATAACTTTACATAATATGATTAAATATTCTTAGTTTATTCCAAGGCTTGATTCTTCCTCATCATCAATAAATATTATCAGATATTTAGATGACAAGATGTATAGACAAGTGCATTTGTGTAATACCTATAATAGTTACATCATACGATATTTTAACATTCATTTTTGTAAAGTAAGTTTTGTTTTATTATCTTAACATAATGTTCTGGGACAACATGGGACCTGTTGGTCCACCTCGGCTGTCCCATCCTCTAAACTAAACTAAATAAAACTATTAATAAAGAACAAAAAATAATATCTTAAAGCCAGCCCTTATCATTCGTATACTCATCAAGCTTTCTCTTAAACTCACTTAAATTTACTGCCTCCACAACATCTGAAGGCAACCCATTCAAAAGGCCAACCACCCTATTAGAAAATAAAACTATTTTCATCCATTTTATTTAGACATCCATAGCTTTTTTTACATGATCTTATAAAATACAGCAACACCAAATGCTTACCTGAGTAGAAATTTTCAGGTGTGATAATAAGTTCCATAAATAACTGACAGATAAAAAAAAGTTCAAAAGTGTCCACAGAATGGAGATTTCAGAAATCATGTACAGAGAATAAGTCGAACAAGGACAGCAAAGGAAAGAAACAAATAAACAAGTAAAACATAATTTTTATTCATGAGAATTGTCTTCACTCTAAGTGGCCATTACAGTTATCAGTTCTGACTTTAAATGGCTGCTTCAGTTGAAAGAGGCTTTTCTACTCGCATTGTAAAAGGACAAAGGTAAAGACCAAAATTCAGACCAAACACTTTTCTACTCGCATCGTCCAAGGACAAAAGTAAAGACCAAAATTCAGACCAAACACTTTTCTACTCGCATCGTCCAAGGACAAAGGTAAAGACCAAAATTCAGACCAAACGTTAAAAGTATAGTACACCAGAATCCACCACCACTTATGTTAATGACCATTTCAAATGAAATTCACTTCAGGGAAGATAAACTTGTAACTCATTCCAAATTGTACAAGAATGTGTACCTCTATTTGAAATGGGCTCACTTCTCCCCACAGGGTTTTGGTGCATGTAAGCGTTACTCCAGTAAAAGAATTAGTATATGAATTTGAAACACTCAGTTAAGAAATATGTTGTATTAGATGCAAAAAACTTGCACAAAAATTAAGAAAAGTTTCTTGAATATTATCTAACTAAAGATATAAACAAGTTGTGGAAGGGTGAAAGTCATGATTATTTCAGTCATTACATAAATAAACTTGCAAAATAATCGAATCTTTGTCAATTCCATTATAGTAGTGTAATGTATGGGGCAGTTAATTTTTTTAAGTGTACATAACTTTTTTGGGGAGGCATGCCATCAAAGGCAAGATCTGAGCTGAGTGTTGTGGTTCTTTCTTGGTACTTCTGGTATTTTCGTCCACAAGCCACATACACATAGTATGATATATCTAAGTTAATACAGCATGTAGTTACATGTACTAAGAGTGTCCTTAAAAATGTTACTGTGTTTCACTGTTCACATTTTGTAGGCTGTTTTGGACAATGGATAATATACAGGGTGGGACAAAACGACTATATAAGTTGTTTGATTTAGAATGTTATCATAGTTCATTTTCTAATTTCGGAAACAAACAATTAATCTAGTTTCAATACTTGGTGGTATTTTCTTCAGTACCAGCTGTATAGTGACTTTTTCCCCACTCTGTGTTGACACGTGTCATATTGTGATTTAGACCTACCGTTAATTTTTGAACACATTTTGGAAATAAAATAGTTAAAACTGTTACATACAAGTGAGTTTTAAAAAACATGGAATTGGTTTTTTGCATCAGTTTTAATTTTCCTGAGTCCACACAAATAAAATCTTATTTAAAAATGTAAACCAGTGTGGGGCTGTTAAAGATATAAAACTTAGTTTGATTTCTCTGTGCTGTCTTGAACCTATATTATTACTTAGTTTGAGTTGTGTTGTCTTGAACCTATAGTATTACTTATTTTGATTTCTCTGTGTTGTCTTGAATCCATATTATTACTTAGTTTGATTTCTCTGTGTTGTCTTGAATCTATATTATTACTTAGTTTGATTTCTCTGTGTTGTCTTGAACCTGTATTATTACTTAGTTTGATTCCTCTGTGTTGTCTTGAATCTATATTATTACTTACAAGACAACACAGAGAAATCAAACAACCTGTATTATTAAAGTAATAATATAGATTCAAGACAACACAGAGAAATCAAACTAAGTCAAGACAACACAGAGAAATCAAACAATCTATATTATTACTGTATCACAAGTGTGGAGATTACATTCTTGTATCACTTATATGCATATTCAACAGTTTTCAATGAAGTAATTCCTGCTTTCAAGCTTTAAGGTATTTAAACTGTGGTTGTTTAAAACATTTTATGTAAATTTGGATTAAAAAATAAAAAATTAGTCTGAAGTAGGAACTTACTAAATGAATTTGTTTTTAACTTTCAAGAAGCTGTCATAACTGTCAAAGTGTGATTTCTTTGACTTAGTTTGCATATTTTTACAATAATAACTTATTGAACCTTTTCCTATAAAATGTTTGTCGATATCTAGTACCAAGAACTTAACTCAATCAGTTGAAAGTGTAATTGTATTGCAGCTTTACAGTTCCAAAAGATACAAATTACCAAGCTTCTTATTTTTAACCTAATTCGCCTAAGTCCTAGCCTATGGTTTGTTAAGGAAATAAGGTATGGTTGTTTATTATGTAATTTAAATCATACTGTGGTATGTTTGTGCTACACGGTTTTAGTACGTGATGAATAATAACACTTATAAAGAGTGGCAATGTAGATTAGTATGTGCTTCTAAACAATAGTGATCTTCCGACTTTCTTACAGATGGACTTAACCCTGACATGTCGGTGTCTTCGTCAAGTTCCCACAGTAATGGTTCAGTGAGAAGCACAAAACTTCAGCCCACGGTACTATTTTCACAGCTTTACCAAAACTTGTTTTTTTTTATATACAAGTGAATTGTGAGAATCTGTTTTACATTTTGACATTTCATTATCAACAGTTAACAGTGTAAGTTGCTTACAAACTTTTGCAGTACACCAGAGAGTAAATTGAGGAGATAACTTGTAGAATCTAGTAGAGACAAAGTATTCCACTTTTGTTGGTTTTAGAACTGAGGAGATAACTTGTAGAATCTAGTAGAGACAAAGTATTCCATTTTTGTTGGTTTTAGAACTGAGGAGATAACTTGTAGAATCTAGTA